AGCTGCAGCAGCAGCAGCAGCAGCAGCAGGAGCAGCAGTAGCAGCAGCAGAAGGAGACAAAGAAGGAGACAGGGGGCCCCCAGTTATCAATCGACCCGCGAGGCCCCCCGCAGCTAGCAGCGCCGTGGGGGCCCCCCGCTGCAGTGCTGTCCCCACAGCCATCAAAGGAAAGAAATACTTTGCAGATGAACACAGCCTGAGGAGACAAATATTTATATTCATTTCTATTCTTTTGTTTCTTTTTTATATTTAAAGAGACAAAAGGAGACAAATAAATATTATAAAGAGACAAAAGGAGACAAATAAGCAAAAGAAAGAGACAAAAGGAGACAAATAAACAAAAGAAAGAGACAAAAGGAGACAAACAAATATAATAAAGAGACAAAAGGAGACAAATGAGCAAAAGAAAGAGACAAAAGCATCAAAGGAAAGAAATACTTTGCAGATGAACACAGCCTGAGGAGACAAATAAATATTATAAAGAGACAAAAGGAGACAAAGAAAGTGTATAATAAAGAGACAAAAGGAGACAAATAAACAAAAGAAAGACAAAAAGGAGACATATTATTATATTTATCTGTATCGTTTTGTCTCCCAATCATATTTAAGAGACAAAAGGAGACAAATAAATAAAAAGGAAACACAGACTGCTGTTGCTGCTGTTGCTGTTGCTGCTGTTGCTGCTGCTGCTGCTGCTGCTGCTGCTGAGTTGCGTGTACCTTTGTAAGAATGTGGTTTTGTTTGTTTGCTGCTGCTGCTGCTGCTCCTCTGCTCGCGCTGCAGCAAGAAAGGCGCGCAGCTCCTCCGATAGAGCAGGAGACTCTCCATAAGAAGCATCTAACTCGCTAGGTGTATGTACACTGCAGCAATATATAATAAAGACAAACACAGATTTTTTTTTTATTTTATTTATATTATTATTATTGTACAGTGAAGCAATATATAATAAAGACCAAGACAGAGGAGAGTTTTTTATTTTATTATATTATTTTTTTATACAGTGCAGCAATATATAATAAAGACAAAGACAGACGAAAGTTTTTTATTTTATTTATATTATTATTATTATACAGTGCAGCAATATATAATAAAGACAAAGACACAAAATAATATTTTTCTATTGTTATTATATTGTTAGTATTAGCATTATTATATACACTGCAGCAATATATAATATATATATATATATATATATATATATATATATATATATATATATATATATATATATATATATAATATAAACAAAGACAGAGGAGAAAACTGTTTATTATTTTTATTACATTTCATTATATCAGGTGTATATACACTGCAATAATATAAAGATAAACAAACACCAAAACACTCACTCTACGCCCACATACACACCCACATACACAGACACATACACAAACACATGCATGCATGCATGCATGCATGCATGCATGCATGCATGCATGCATGCAGAGAAAGCTGCTGCTGTTGTTGTTTGTTTGTTTGTTTGTTTTACTTTTCTATTGGCTGTGGGGTGTGGCTGCTGATGGTATCTCCTCCTAGTATCATACGTGTGAGTCTATTTTTCCAGTTATTTTTAATTTTTTTTATTTCTTTTTGCTGCTGCAGCTGCTGCAGCTGCTGCTGCAGCGATGACTCCAGCAGCTGCAGCCACTTGCTGTGTACACGGGCAAACAAAGGAGACTCTCGCTGCTGCTCTCTCATCTCCTTTAGGGCCCCCCATATCTCCCGGGGCCCCGCACCCCGAGACAGCCCCAATGCTTTGAAAAACTCAGAGTCGCTCATTGCTGCATGCATGCATGCATGCATGCACACACACACACACATACACAATATACCCCTGCATGCATGCATGCATGCATGCATGTATGTATGTATGGGGAGCAATTGTCTGTATCTATTTATATATTTTGATTCGTATTCAAACAAAACAAAATAAAAATAAATAAAATAATAAAATATTAAATAAACAAAATACCTGGGGTTCTATCTTCTTCTTCTTCTTCTTCATCGTCATCTACTAGCGGGCAAATTACTTTATCCAGCTGCTGCTGCTGCAGCTGCAGCGCTGCTTCCTTTACCTCAGCTAGTGATGGGGGCCCCGTAGGGGCCTCCAAAGGGGCCCCCTCTAGGTCATCCTCTGCCTCTCCTGTTTCTGTCCGCGCTGCTGCAGCAGCTGCAGCTGCAGCTGCAGCAGCAGCAGCAGCAGCATCCAAAGCAGCAGCATTTGTATCTGCAGCAGCAGCTGCTGCAGCAGCAACAGCAGAATTCATTGCTGCTGCAGCAGGACGCCCGTAGACAAGAAGGGGATGAGGAGAGAGTAAGGTAGAGGGGGGCCCCCTAGGGGCCCCCCTTGCTGCAGAAGGAGACACCAGAACGCTTCCTTTGCTGTCTCCTCTGCTGCATGCAGGGCCGTTGCATGCAGCCCCACGAGCAACGAGGGGCCCCATTGATCCCCCCACAGCAAACGCTAAGGGGGGGCCCCTAAAGACAGCGCTGGGGGCCCCCCTAGCCTTGAGGTGGGCCCCCATGGGTAGTCTTATGCAGGACCCGCGGGGGCCCCTGGGGGGGGGGGCCCCGGGG